CCGCAGGGGCCTGGTGTGTTACTGCCGTGTCCGAGGGCCGCGTGGAGCTGTGAAGGTAAAGTTAGCACGCCTGGAATCTAACGTCTCGAGTCATGCAAGGCGACACGTTCCTGTGAGGCAGTGAGCCGCAGAAATAGCGTGTTGCAGAATGGAGGGGGCCTCTCCCTCATCTGCAACTAAATCTTGTAACTACGAACTAAATACCTACTGAGACCGTGGCTTGACTCAGCACCTGGGTGTGCGAGGAGTGGTACTGGTTTGTTTAGTACAAGATGTTAAATTTGGGTGTAAAACTAAGATTATTAGGCTGTCTAAATTACTCGGAAGTTCGCTCTTATTGTGCAGAAATAAAATGCTGTGCTGACACACATTTGTTTGGGTTTCTAGAAAACAGCCACGGCTGTTGCCCACTGCAAGAGAGGAAATGGCCTCATCAAAGTGAATGGAAGACCTCTGGAAATGATCGAGCCCAGAACTCTGCAGTATAAAGTAAGCAACCACCCAACCTCTGCCCCCTCCCCTTAAGTGTTGAAATGCCTTTATGTACGTAATTGTTTGACAGTGGAGAAGAGTTGCTTGTCTGACTGACTGCTGAATTTTTGGTTGTTACCTCATTATCTAATAAATAGATGCTGTTAGGAAAATTCAGAAAACTAGACTAATGCGATTGCTGTGTTGGGACTGGTGGGGTTTTTGCTTAACTGGTTTCATTTATGTGAGGTATATTCTGCGCTAATCCGTTTTTAAAATTGAAGTGGGTGCAAAAACATTGTTTAGGCCTTAATAAAATAGCTGCTGAGAGAATCTGTGACCGGCTAGGTAACTAAAGTGTTACAAATAGTGAAAAAAACTACGTGCAAATTACTTCAGGTCCTCAGTTTTAATAAACTTGGTTTATTTTTGGCATGTAGTTATGGCAGTCTATTTAAACTGTTCCCTTGCTCTTAATTCCCCTGTGCATATGCTTTGCTGTTAAGGTATTTGAAACTTAAAAACTCAAGACTTCAATAAATTGATAACAGCACGAGTAGGTGTCAGATAGGTCTGCAAGAGGTGTGCTTGGTCTGGGTGTGTGCTTTTAAACAAGGTTCCATTTTTCAGAATATTAGTAACATCACATTTGGTAAACCTACAACAAGCTCCAGTCTTGATCAGAAATGAATTTTCTTTCTGTGTTTTGTTTCTCAGCTGCTTGAGCCTGTCCTCCTCCTGGGGAAGGAAAGGTTTGCTGGTGTTGACATCAGAGTCCGTGTGAAGGGTGGTGGCCACGTAGCGCAAATCTACGGTACGTTTTTTGGTGGATCTCTGCTGTGGGCAAGAATGGGTCAAGCCATTCTGGTGAGTTGGCACTGACTGGGTGCTAGGTGCCCACCAAGCTGCTCTGTCACTCCCCTCCTCAGCTGGATGGGGAGGGAGAGAAAATGAGATGGAAAAGGTCTTGTAGGTCAAGATAAAAGCAGTTTAATAAAGCAAACATGAAGGCTGAGAATGGAAGCCAAGGAAAACAAAAGGCTTCAATCGGGATGATGTTCAGCCACTTCTGGGAGGTAGGGCCCTCACACCTGTAGCAGTTGCTTCTCGTCCTTTTGCTTTGCTTTTATTGCTGAGCAGACATGGACTGGAATATCCCCTTTGGTCAGTTTGAGTCAGCTGTCCTGGCTATGCTCCCTCCGAGATCATGCCCACCTCCAGCCTAATGGTGAGGGGGAAATGTTGGAGGCACAGCCTTAATAATGCCATGTGAGCACTGCTTAGCTGTAGCCAGAACGCACCATGTGAGAGCTGTCATGGGGAAAATGCCTTCCATCTCAGCCAGACTCAATGCAGCCTTGTATTTTAGAGGCTTCTGTTTAGAACAGTGACTTGCACAACTCAGTGTTCTGCTGCTTTTTTCACTGTGCAAATGTGTTTTTTCCTAAGGGCTTATTAAATTCTATGTACAAAGCTGTAACATCTGAAATAAGCTGAGTGAAGTAAGCTGGTGAAGTTTTGAGGAAATGCAAGGAAACTTCACCTTATGCCATGTGGCAGGATAGTTGAAATGCAGCTGAGCACAAGGATTTTGGGAGGGGGAGAAGGGGCTTATCATTAGAAATTGTATTTTTAGTTGTATATTTCTATGTTCAGAGCATCTTTCAGCTCTGATGAGCAGTTTTCCCCAGCAGAGAAGACTGGGAACATTCTTAGATGTTGATAGAGTTTATCTTTGCAAGCGATAGATTTGTTCTGCTCTTCTGGTTTGGTTATAGGTTAGTGAAGTGGAGCTGAGGCTGCATCAAGAACATAGGCAAGTTTCAGGATCAAAGTTGATCGCATTTGGTTTTCAGAACATTAAGATTTTCATCAAAATCCTGATGTTGATGTTCTGACAGATAGCAACATCTCAACAGTTAATCTCATGCTCCTGGTTTGGGTTCTGCTTACTGTGTTGCTGTGCTACAGGTTTTTTTGTTGCGATTTTTTCCTTGTTGAAAAGTCTAGACATTACAGGCAACTGTGTTTCTGAGGATTTTGAAAGTTGACTGCATGTAGGTAGAAGATGGACCTACTTTAGTACTCAGTAGAGCAGGTGATCAGACTTCCCATGTACAATTCCTTGGCTAGCTTGTCAAATCAACAGATGAACTCTGGGTGGCCTCTTGGCACAGATTTCTTCAGATTTGCCAAAGTAAAGGTGACGTGGAGTATGTGGGAGGGGAAATTGAGGAGGGAAAGGAGAATTTGGCAGCAAACAAAATAGCAAGTTTCTTGGATAACTGGGACTTTGTGTTTAATTTTTAAATAGATTTGCAGTCCTCACTGATGCTTTATTTTTTTTTTACAGCTATCCGTCAAGCTATTTCCAAGGCTTTGGTGGCTTACTATCAAAAATGTAAGTTGTTTTGATTGTTGTATTAGCCTTAAGTGGAAGTGTGTTGCTTTTGGTAGTTTTGTTGCAAAAAGTGTTAATATGGATTTGTTCTGTGTGAAACTGCTTAAGCTAATTATTTTTTTTCTTTTTTTTTTTTTAAACAGATGTTGATGAAGCTTCCAAGAAAGAGATCAAGGATATTCTAATCCAGTATGATAGGACTCTGCTGGTTGCAGATCCTCGCCGCTGTGAATCCAAGAAATTTGGAGGACCTGGTGCTCGTGCGCGCTACCAGAAGTCTTACCGTTAAAATTGTCCTGCTGTCATGTGACAGTCAATAAACATAAAGAATTTGATAAATTTCATGTTTCTAAATTGCATTTTTCTCTCTGGGTAAATAGATTTATTTTTTTTAACTCTGTGTGTGAAGTTTAAGATGGATACACAAATTGGTTGGTATTAAAGTAAAACCAGAGGGCTGATGGCAGTTCTCTTTTATCCTTTCATAGTAAGTCTAGGTAGTTAGGGTCTTGGGAATGAAGAGCTTTCTCCTCTTGGTGAATGTACAGTTACCTGAACAGGAGGCTCACATCCTGGTTTGTGTGGGTACGTGCCACAGCATAGGGTTCATTAAAGCAGAGTAAATCTTTGCCTTTCTGGTACAGTTTACATTGTCTCAAAACCAAAGCAATTACAGGGGCAGGGGAGGGAGGTTTGTTGGACTCCTGCGTTACCAGATACTAGAGGCACAGTTTTCTGGATTAGTATGTCTTAATGTAGTAAACTTAAAATAACAGGCCCTATATATATTTACTTTAAAAAGTATTTAGTACATGTAAAACAAGAAGGATTTTGTCTTACGAGTAAGACTGATTCTAAATGGTTTATCCTTGAACTACATGTTCACACAGTACAAGCACAGAGGGATGTAGACCTGGTGATCAACAGTAAGTAGTTTAAACAAAAAGGAAAAAGTGGCTTTGGAACTCAGACAACTGCTCATGTTATGAGCTAGGTGAGGCAATTTGAAGGCCTTGGGGGAAGAAAGTGGGAAAACCTTGGTGTTAAAAATATGACAGTAATTTTCAAAAATCTATCTGGAGGGTGTGTGTATCAAATGTTGGAGAAGTTTCAGTTTCTCGTCCATTGAAACAAGATTTTCATTCAGGAAGTGATTTTCCAGGGGCAAAAAGGCATAAAGTTCTGAGTAACTGTGGGATGTGCCAACAAGATGCTGCTGGAAAGGCTTATTCTGTCCTTTGGAGGAGTTGTAAGTAATGGAGCAAGGCCTTGAATACGAGCTGACCCAACAGGTATGTGCACAGCACTGAGGTGTTTCTTATGTCTGAAAATCTGTTTGGAGAGGAATTGGAGGAAACACTGGAGACTAAGGCACCGAGAGCCCAACTATTGTATTGCTCTCCCAGTCTGGTATTTTTGTCTCGTATACACTTGTATGCCAATACTGAAGTTGTCATAGGAGCATGTTGATACTTGAGATTTTTGTTGAACTTTCTCTTAACGTGGTCTTTCTTCTCTCATTTGTTTTAACAGGAGGTTATTTCAGTACTCAGTCAACATGAAGGTAAAACAGCTTCCAATGTGGGTTGGGGAGTTGGAAAGAGCAGCAAAATTCTGCCCTTTTGCTCTAGTTTAGGAAACCAGCTGCTTGTGGCATGGTGTCTGCTTTTTTGGTAGGAAAGTATTTAAGGCAGCCTCACTGAAGTGTAGTTATCCAAGAGTTAAACATGTAACTTAAATTCCTTCTGAAAGGAATTCATCTCCCATTTTAGATGTCAGTGACTGCCACAAAATAACTGAGTGATATGATCTGAATAGAACATTCATATCCAAGCCCCTTGCAGTCCCATTGAATCAGAGAGGACTGTTGTATGTTCCATCACCAATTTACACCAGGATTTTTTTGTTTTATACTAAGTGAACGAGATACTCTATTCCAGACTCTTGCTGTCTCTGGCAAGATGCATGGTTTGCTTACCTCAGATCCCTTTCTGCACTCTAAGCTCTTGGACTGCTGAAAACTCTGATTTTCAGCCTTCTAACCTGACTTTCTAAGGAAAAGATGCTATGCTAACTTTGAATTTAATTGCTTGAATTCCTATGAGTTTTTTTTGAAAACTGGCATCTTGATAGATGTTAATTAGCTTTGGCCGAGGAAAAACAAGCCTTTTGGTTGTTTGGCTCATGTAGTGACTGAAAAGCAATGTCTCAGTTGTTGCTGGGGAAATGTGTACTGGCCTGCCAGTTGGCACATACGTACCCTATGCTGCGCCTTGTCCAAAACTGATTCTTGCCTGGCTGTTAGGGAAGAGTGGTGGCGGGAAAGAGGTGATGCAAAGTTGCAGTGGTGTGAAACTCGGGAACACAAAGGGAGATGCAATACCTGATGCCAGTATCCTTAGGGGTGGATTTCAATTATGAGAAACCTGATGGATCCATTTTTCTGCCCACAGAGCAGCTTGTAACAATTGGATTTTTTTTTTGTTTGTTTTACTGTTCTTTCATGGAAAGGCTGAAAATAAAACTTGCATTGCTACTAATACATCCAGAGATGATATCTGCATGTCATTTCTTCAACCAGAAGAATCTTAACATAATAAAAATGCTTTCTGTACTGAACTCTGATCCTATAAAAATGCCCCATTAATCCTGTAGAGTGATGTCATTCCCACACGCTTTCTTAATGTGAAATGTTTGTGGAATTGGGCTGGTGTCAGCCTGGGTGGCTGAAGATTTTTATCCTAAGAGGTTGCTTTCTGATCTCCCACTAGAGGGCTTAACTTCATCGAGGAGTGAAGTCTGAAGGTGTAAGGAGAAAACCTGTTCAAAAAAATTTCCTTTCCTGATGTCCAGATTCTGTAGGGATGGTAATCAAGCTCCTGTCATTGAGCATCCGCTCTGGCTAGAGTCATGTTGCCACAGAGAGACAGTAACAGTTTGATCTTCAAGCCCTTAGCGAGGTTCTTGTGCAGCTGTGGAGGTGGTTCTTGGAAAAAAGAAATGCCCCTAACCTCTTATCTTCCTGCTCTTTCATTAGTTTCACCAAATTTCAGCAATACTAATCCTTAGGAACATCAAGTGTGCACAACAAAATGTTGTCTCACTTGAATTTTTCATTGAAAATACCATAATTTGTTAACAACAGTGGATCCAGTTTCAAACCAGGGCAAGTTTGTCCCTATGGCACAGGAGGCAGTTATTTTTTCACCCATTATTGATAATCCTGATAAACAGTGCAAGCTGTGTATGGATTTATGTCTTCTCAAATGTTACGTTGGAAAATTTGGAGAAAATTACTTATGACTGTAATATACAAATATATGTTTAAATTTTATTTTAAAAGAAAAACCTGTAACTTAAAAATGTAATCCTGGCATTTTTAAAATGTGGACAAGTGTGTTCTGTATTGTGCTTGTTTTCTTACAAAAGCAATTATTTTCTAATGTGTTTTTTCTGTTCAAACTTTTCAGAGGTGTCAATCTGGGAGTATTCTAATAATACTGTAGATAGTGTGTGTTGTTGCCTTGATATAATTTGATTCAATTTTTAAAATTTCTTTCTTAATATAACCCTCTGAGTTACAGTTCAGTTTCCTTAGCTGACATCTTTAATGTCCTTGAGACTGTACTGGTTTCCAACCATGCCTTGGGCAGTGATGTCCAGACCTAATGAAGCCTATTGCTCTAACTCTTACAAAGTTCCTTTGCAGCTGGTGGAGCTTGACCTACTTTCTAAATATTAGAATTTAAACAACTGTGGAATACTGTCATGCACCAAATATTCATTCAACTTTGCTATAGAAAAATTATACAAAAAAAAAAAAGGGCATTTCAGTTTTGGTTAAACCCAAAGAACTAATTTATATTAATGGAAAGATTTACTTGTGAAACTGCATATGAAGCATGGTGGGAAATATGGTCTTGAGGAAGGGAGAAATCCCAGATCAGATTTCTCAGAGTAGCTCAAAACAGTTTCTAAACTAGACTTAGCTTGACAGTAAGATACCATGTTGATGATAATGGAATTTGCAAGTTCTAATGCTTGGTTTTGTCTCATCTTGAGAGTAGGTTTATGAGAGGGTAGAGCAGCCTCTCTCCTTCCTGTAAGTTCCCACATAAGAACTAAAAGTCTGTGAGTGACTATAGCAATGTGTTGGAACTCACTTCTTTTGCTTCTGTTTGCAGTCTGGAGTGGTTTTGGACCACATGGAGCAGATGCAACTAAGCTGGGAGATACAGTCCAGCTGAAGACTAGCCCATAGCTAGTCAGAAGTAAAAACAAAGCTAAAAACCTCTTGAAATGCAATTATGGGAATGTCAGCTTCTCAGATCCAACAGTAATAAAAATAGTTCTTAGTAGAACACAGTGTAGTATTATGTATCAGTTTGGAACAAGTATTTTTGTGCCACCAGCGATCCCAAACCTGCATGAGTATTGTTGTCTGCTGTGCAGAAATAGAGTTTTGTCTTTGTGGTTGGAGAGGCTGTGTGTTTCTCATTTTCCTTCCCTTCTTGTCCAGTTGGGGACCACGAAAGGG